TTTTCATCTCTTACCTTTGACTTTTCTCTGGTCCCTGGTTGCTGGCGGACATTGTCGGTGCCGCATTCTCCCTGCTCCCTTCTGGCTGTCTCTTTTCCATCTTGCTCACCCTTGCTAACAAACTCTTGTGTGGTAGTTCAAAATTGTCCTTCTGTTGTCAAATGTTGAGAGCATCTGGACTTTTTTTTAGTATGCTGGTTACTTTTGTTGATATGCAAATCATTTTGTTCAAACTTGATTTTTCACAAGCAAGATTCCTGTGGAAGAACAAAAAGCCATCAGTCATCACATCCACAAGAGCAAGCCAGGGGAACACGCAGGAGAAAATGCTTTTAAGGATTGCCGCCAGGGAACACTCTGTGGACCAATCATTGCAAGTTGATGAGCAACACCCAGGAACACCTTTTGAATGCTGGTTGCCGCCAGGGGACACCTTATGAGAATTGCTTCCTGATGGGGAACACCACACCAAGTGACAAACACCACCAATAGATGCTGAGTCTTTGCAGAGCCGTTCCTAGGTCAAAAATCTGCCACGTAATAAAGAAAAACCTCTGGGCTTAATGGGCAGTACCTCAAACAAAAACTCTGGGCCTTGTGGGCAGTAACAGGCCAGTAATGTTGTGACATTACACGTGGTCAGCCCATAATGCCCAGGCATGCTTCCCTGATGAGGGTACGCTGCCAAATTGGGCAAGGCTTCCCATCAAGGGATGTGCAATAACGCGCCAAGCAGAGTCCGTTGTGGACTTGTTTGCAAAAAAGTTAGGCACCCTAGCATGGGTGTGAAGCAAAACAACTTGACAGTGATGCAAAGAAAACAATGACACAAAAAGTGACAAAAAATTTTACTCTGACAAATTCAGCACTTGACTTCATTTCACTTCAAACTGACACTCTGTTCTGATCTCCTTAGATTTGGCCCTGGGGACAATGGCCTGGTGGCGGCCATGACGCCCATGCAAAAAAGACAAATGCGCTAGCCACCGCAACTTACCCATGTCATCCTGGCACTACCCCTAGGGCAGCAACATCTGCGCAGCCCTTTTTTGGGGTACCTTCAACCAACCTCCACCGTTTGGCAGAGGTCAGCTGAAGGGGGGGATTTTGTTGGGCTATGGATGCCGCTACCCATCCAAAGGAAGTGGTGCCAAGCCCCACCCACAAACGTACAGCATGAGAGAGGGAGAGAATGGTGTTGGAGCTTGGGCTCCAACCTGGAAGTCAGACGTCCATCTTAGGCTTCATTCTGTCTGGTGATCTGGAGGTGTACATACCTTTTGTTCTGCTGTGCGTGACTGAGCAACTTGTGGATTTTGTACTTGTGTGTTGAAGAGTTGGTTTTTGTTGATTCAGTTAGGTTGTTTTATTCAAACTCTTCCCTTTTGCACCTGAGTTTGTTTCTTCCCTGTGTGTTATAATTTATCTGAAGTAAAATCCCACTTTTGAAGGGCCCTCAATAAGAGGTACCTGTCTGCGTAACAGCTGATTTTGTTTACCATTTCTTTCATCTCTTAAATCTCTATAAAAACCCTTTGTTGGTGGGAACACAACCCAACACATGTCTGGATATCAGGCCTGATTTGTTTGTGTTTCAAGTGTCCCTAAGTTGAATTGTCCATATGTAAAGATGTCTGCATATCAGGGTCTCACTGTATTGTCTAAGTCAATGATAAATCAATGAAACAATTCAAAAGGAACACTGCAAAGACTAAGCAAAATAACAAGATGCGTATTTGGAAAAAATTCAAATTTCCACACAGTGGGAAAAAAAATGTTCTTTATAAAAAAGAAATGGAAAGATAGCAGTGACTCTTTACACTGAATATTGTTAGAGGGCTGTTTTTTTTTGCTTTGAAGAGGAAACCCACATTCTTCTCAGTGCATTCTCCTCTACAAAATTTGATAAGATTCCTTTGGTTATTTGACTCTACGTTTTTATTCTAACTTCTTGTGTCTAATTTTGTTTATTTATTTGTCCCTCTGCAGATCTTCAGCACATTGACTTGACAATTTTGTTTTGACTGCTCGGGTCTAATTAATTTATTTTTTGTTGCAGATCTTCAGCACAGTGTATTTGCTGTACTGACCACCGCATTTGGTGGTGCAGGTTACAGCTAAGAGTGACTATATATATATATATCTATATACCGCGACGCGAATACGTAATTCAAATACTCGACGTGAAAAAAAATCCAAGCCATGTCCAGCCATTGGTACTCGACATTCAGACACTCTGGTGGAGACAATAAGCAGCAAGGCAGCACTGCTGGTTACGGCGACGGTGGCACCTCATCTGCAACACCAACAACAACAACAACCAACATCGCAGGCATGACAACAGGGGTTCCTCTACACCAACAGCAAAATAAGCCGCAACCCGCAGCCAGACGCGGGGGTTCTGCTGCCAGCAGGTACTTGCTTCGCTCCAGTCTGCGTTCCAAGGGATCCAGCTCGTCATCCGGGGAACGGGATCCGAGGGAGCGGTTCAAGGACTGCTGTCGGAAAATTGTGCAATTCCTCTTTTCCCAGGTACTGCATTACTGTATACTCGTGTGTGTGTGTATTTTTGTGCGTGGTGTTATTATTATTATCATTATACCTCAACCGTCCGTGACAGTGTTTGAAATAGCGGGGTTCACTCAAAATCTTACTTTTATGCAGGAAGCCAGAGAGAGAGAGAGACGAGATTGTTTTTCTTTTTCTTCTTCTTTTCTGAAATATTTGCAGTCGTCGTATGATTATTTTCTTTATTTTCTTTTATTTTTCAATGGGATTCAGCGGGTCTCATCAGTAAGTATCACGCCTAAATATTTTCATTCATTTGAAATGTTGTGCCTTTTCCCTCGAGGAAACAAAAACAAGTTCGGATCATATGCTGTCTTTGAGGCTCAAGGGTTGATTTTTTTTCAGCATTTATCGAATGAAACAGATTTTAAGTGAGAATTCAGTAAAAAAGTATAAAATCGGTTAAGTACTTGAAAATTCAGTAAACATACGTGAAAACTCTGTAAAATACTTTAAAATTCAGTAAATATACGTGAAAACTCTGTAAAATACTTTAAAATTCAGTAAATATACGTGAAAACTCTGTAAAATACTTGAAAATTTCGTGAACATACGTGAAAACTCAGTAAAAATTCAGTAAGAATTCGTAAACATTCAGTAAGAATTCGTAAAAATTCAATAGGGATTCGTAAAAATTCAATAAGAATTCGTAAAAATTCAATGAGAATTCGTAAAAATTCAGTAAAATGCTTTAAAATTCAGTAGAAGTCAGTGAAAGTTCAGTGAAAATAATTTGAAAAATGCAGTACGCTGTATAAGTAAACATACGGTTCAGTAGAATCTCCTCATAACAAAGATCGTTAAAACAAATAAATGATAGCAGCAAAAATTTTGTTTAGGTCCCTATGGCCAATAGCCATAATGTTATTTTCATTGCTACGAACTTGTTGTTACTGATATGCTATTTTACTGGTCCAAATGGCTTTGTTGCAATGAGATTTCATTGTGTGTAATGTGGTGAGAGCATTTTTCTTTTCTTCAAGAGTATGTCGTGAAATAGTTAAAAATGCATTGAGATGATCATAAAATGTCCTGGAAAAAGGGTTTTTTTTTTTATTCTCATGGCGTTTTTGATGAGTTAATTTTTGTGAGAACAGCTTCATCAGTCCCTTCGCAGCCGCCATTTGTGAGGAAAATGTGGTGGATGTTGATTTTAAAAAATGGCGGAATTACTTTGGAAGGCCCTCGAAATAAACACCATGTCCACTTCAAAATTTGGGGCATAATTCAATTGAAAATCAGATTTTATTTTGCTAAAATTTAAAAAAATTAACCAGGTGTGGCAAAGAAACACTTGGAATATGTGGCCTATGGTAAAAAAAAAAGATACCAAGCATTATTTTATGGAAATGGAAATAGCCATTAAACATATGACCTGTGGCTTATACAGTAGTAGGAAAAACTCATTAATGAATCAACATGGGACCCAGAGGGTCACAAGTGGGGTATTGGGCAGAAACAATTGGTGACCTCAAATATTCCATGTCTTCTTACCAGGATAATTTTTTGAAATCTTTTTTAAACTTTGCAGAACAGCTGGGTACTCAATCTGATAAATATGACCTTGTGATTGTGGTCTAATGAAAATTCATACATTTTTCCCAATTATGCCCAGGTGTGGCTGGGTACCCCCAGATTGTTCTGAAAGGAAAGCTGGGGTGCAAAAACAGAAATTTTTAAATGTGCACCTCGTCTTTTGACTGAAGAGCAGAAAGCTGTCAGGGTGACTCTTGCAAAAAAAAATTAGGAAAAATTGGTCAGACAGGGCTGAATTTTCCAATATTTTTATTGTGCCGAAGAATTCTTTTTTTCCTGAACAATAATTGTTTTTCAGCTGAATCATGTATACTCTTTCAGTTTTATCCCAAAAAGGTTTTAGACCCCCTCATATTTGTGAATGGTTGTTCAGTACTTTCATGCTCTTTTCTTTGCTTTTTTTGCTCCAGGTGGGTGTGGGTGCGCTTGTGGTCGGTTACGCCATCTTTGGGGCATTTGCCTTCATCGCAGTCGAAGGTGGACAAGAACGCATTGGACTTCGCATGATCGAGCACAGAGAAGCTGCAGCTCAGCAGCTCTGGAATGTCACTGAAGTCTACAATGTACTCAACTTTGAAAAGTGGAACACGGAGGTGGAGGGTCTCATCAAGAGTTACCAGCGGGAGGTAAAATAAAACGTTGTATTTCTTTTTCTTCAACTGCTGATGACATGCTGCTGACTTTGAGAGATTTTTGGCTGATGATTGATTGATATACAAGCTTCATTATTTGCCAATTGTCAGGATTCACAAGGTTCAAAAATGTTTTCCACTTCCCCCCAAACTTTATATCAACACATTTCAATATTTCAAGCAAAAAAATAACTACAGGAGACCCTTGGATAAGGAACTTAATTGGTTCCAGACAAAAGTCTTTTTTAAACCAAATTTGATTTTCCCATAGACTTCAATGGGGTAGAATTTAATCAGTTTAGTGAAGACTAAATATAAATGCTAAATATAAAAGATTCATGACCATCAAATTTAATCAGAATAAGTTGTTCTTGCTATGAATGAATGAACAGAACACTTTATTTGCTGCTTTTCAGTGTTCACAAGGTTCTCTCAAGATTTCCACAATCAAACCCCCTTCCCACCCAACCCAAATCCACTCGAAGACATTTTAATCACTTCAGAGCAGGAAAGCACAAATTGCTAACAAAAATAAAAGAAAATACAATGCAACATGAAATACAACTGAACATCTGGCATGTATGCATACACCCATTCATTCCCT